TGGTTCATAGCTTCCAATTGCACTTATTCACATAAAATATACATAGACATATTCATAAAAAAAAAAATTCAATTTGCATTACCTACCTTAATTCTTGATATGAAATGAGAAATTCTTTGCCTTGAATAATCAAACTTGTAGCAATACTTCTTGTAAATAGTCTAAAATTAACACAAATTTGAGAGGAAGAAAAAGTGAAATTCGAATTTTGCGGAGATGTGGGGTAAAAAGGTGACATTCATCTTCTTACAACCTCCATTTTTATTGAAAAACTAAATGGAAAAGTTATTTAACACTAAATTTTGTTAAATTGAGCCTTTAAGTGGGAATTTAAAGAGCTTTAAGTCCAAAAATAATTCTTATAAAAGTTTTTTTTTATTTTTTTTATAAAAACATTTACATGGTGAAAAATGGAGGAAAATGAATGGTTTATATGACTTGTAACATATCTCCATGAATGCTCATCAACAAGAAACTTATTCCCTCCAATTAACTTGACATAGTTGTGTCTCAATTTGGAAAGTGATGATTTTTTACTCCAATTTTTATATATATATATATAAAAAAAATCTGCATGGTGATTCGAATTTGAATTGCCTATGTGAAATACAATGCAAATGAACATTGTGGCGCCCAATTATTTATTAAGCCTATGTTTGGCCCCCATTTTTTTTAAAACTCATTTCCAACTACATATTCTCCCATAAAATTATATTACACGTAAATTGAAAACTTTTTCATTTTAACTTAATATCTGCCTTGGGCTTTCATTCGTTTCTTAAATGGGCCCCATCAAACCTACTTAAAAATATAAAATTTGGGACTTTACATCTCTCATACCTTAAATGAGTTTCTTTCTCAAAATTACTATAACTTAAACAAACAATGTTGGATAATTGACTTTGATTTATGCTTCTGTTTTCCAAGTAACCTCTCTCGTGATGTTGCTTCTGAACCTTGACTAATGAATTTTTCTGTTCAAAATAGCAATGGAACTTCTTCGTAAGATAGGTCTTTCTAAATATCTAATATTTGGTAATTCACCACTGGAAAAATTTTGAGTTTAAATGTAATATTATTTTATTCTAGAATGTGTGGTTGAAAAAAGGAGAAAGAAAAATGTATTTTGGGATTAATGGGGCCAAATAGGTGCATAGACACATGAAACACATAATGCACGACATAAAGTTCCAACGGTAAAGCTAAACAATATGCTGCATTACCAACTTCGTTAAGAATTTCGAAAGGCCCTATATAACGCGGTTCCACTTGCCTTTCTTACCGCACCTTAGTACACATTTTATAGGTGCCATTCTTAAGAAGACATTTTTACTAACTTCAAATTCAAATATTTTCTTCGATTGCCTGCATAACTATTTTGTGGATCCTGAGATGCTTTAATGCGGTTTCTGATCTTATCTACTGCTTTAATTGCTAACTAATGACTTCTGGACCTAAAATTATCTTCTCATCGAATGAACTGATGATTTGCATTTTCTGCTATAGAGAGCCTCTTATGGTGCTATACCAATGGTAGATTAAAAACTGTTGTTATAGTATAACTCTACCAAAGGCAAGCACGTAACATATCTTCCAATATTTGAATAGTTATTTCGAATTGATGGCAACAATCATTAAAAGAATATGTGAACTCGTAAAATGCTTCTTTCAATGTCATTTTGACTACGACATAAGCTATCACACCAATTTCAATGTCTGATCATCATACGACAGAAGTCGTAGCAAAGTACTTCAAAAAAGTCCTTCACCTCAAACTTAGAAGATTAGTGCATCGGTAAAATGTGACACAGCCTTGATCACTATGCTTAGAAATGTGATACTTCAGAAGAACGAAATAATTAAATAATTATGCTTGACTCCTCTTTGGCATACTACCTCCGAGTGTAAAAAGAGCTATGTTACATACAATGAACTCTTCAAGCTTCATATTTTCTCTAGCATAATGTCGAAATAAGTAAAAAGCCAATTCTTTAAACTTCAGATTCACTCCGACATGAATGCCTCAGAATAATATTTCTTCCAACATAAATGTTTTGGATAAAGATAATGTTTTTGACAATTTAAAGATTTTTGTACGAGAAACAAAGAAATATAAAAAAATCCTTCAATTCAATATGAAATTTGAATTTAGCGGAATAATGTTATATATAGAAATCAATATGGTCTACCTGGATGTCACATTCGTCCCTAAAAGGGTCCCATCACTTAATTATGTCTCATGAAATGAACATTTATGCATTGATCTTTGAGCCTCCATCGCCAATGCGTGTCCAAATAAAGAAAATCGCAGAATTTTAGCATTTGGCCAAAACTTTGATTAGAGGTCTCGAATAGACTCAAACACGAATAAAACTCATCTTGGTGTGAATTTTGACAAATCAACTTTGATGTCAGTGCACCATGCCTTTGCATGAAAATAGAGTATTTTCGGACAAATGTCATAAAAGTACAAATATCGATAAGTTTTGAAAATAAAAAATTAATAATGAATTCTAATAAATGATGGAAAAAGCTCAAGTTATAAAAATAAATAAAATGCCCTTATCAAGTCCTTATAAATAGACTAGCACAACTAAAAAAGAAGGATGATTAATGAATCTCTCTCTCAAATACAAAAAAAGTTGCGCTCTAAATATTAAAAGTTCAAGAGTGAAAACTCTTGAAAATTGAGAAAAACACAGTTGGCTTTAAGTAGTGATGGCAATGGGTCGAGCCAAGCTGGTTCGTGGCTCGTTTGCTCGTGGGTGAGCTCGGCCCGGCCCGGCCCTTAAACCCACGAGCTCACGAGCCGAGCGGCTCGTGACTCGTTTGCTCGTGGGCGAGCTCGGCTCGGCTCGCGAGTCCATGAGCTTTTTGAATTTTTTTTTCTTTTTCACGTTTTTTTTTTATTTTTCTTTTATTTTTCACGAGCCCACGAGTAGTTCGCGAGCTCGGCTCGTCGAGCTCACTTGAAGCTAGGCTAAGGCTCAAGCTCGGGCTCGTCATTTGACGAGCCCGAGAGGCTCGCGGCTAGTATTTTCACGAGTCGAGCGGCCGAGTCGACAGTCGCTCGGCCCGTTAGCCACCTCTAGCTTTAAGAAATACAACCTATATTTTAAGATCAACAGAATTGATATGATGCGTCTTCTTCATCGCCTCGAAAATAGAAAATAACGTAGGTGATATGCTCTTATTTAAGTGTCTTAAAAAGAGCATGTATCATTTTGCTTAGCCACAATCTATTTTAGATAAAAAATCAATTTTTTAATAAATTTTGATAAAAAATGATTGATTTTTTCGTTGAAAATTTGTGAATTCCATGAAATGTGTGGTTAAAAGCCCCTATTTCTTTTAGACAAAAATCATACTCTTTGTAGATTTTGATAATAATTGGTGGAATGTGTGGTTGAAAATTGCAATCCAATGAAATGTGTAATTAAAATAGAGTATTTTGTATTTGAAGAGTCATTTGAAAATGTTCTAAGTAAATAAAATGAAATGATGGAGATTTCGTTGATGAGTAATTAACACATAACGTCCATATCTTTCATTTTTATTTTGAAAAACGTTCATGCCTTTTATTTTTTGGCATTTTCATCTTTATTTTCACATTTCATTGTCAAAAGGTTATTTTCACATATTTTCTCAATTAAAAAAATATGAAATGACGAATATACCCCATTTTTAAATAAAAGAAAAATAAAAATAAAAAAGGTAATTGCAATCACAGTACCAAAATTTTTTAAAAAGCGCAAATAAGTCACAAATAAATTATTAAAAGGGTAATTAGTACATAATGTCCCTATCTTTCACCGTTATTGCGAAAAACGTCCATACTTTTTCATTTTGTTTTTGGCATTTTCATATTTAATTACACATTTGATTGCGAAAATCATCATTTCTATCCATTTTCATCCAATTTTTCAATAAAAAGCTAAATAATTAATTGCAATCATAGTTTCAAATTTTTTAAAAAGTGCAAACAAATCCCCAATAAATTATTAATTTTTTTAAAAAAGTACGAACGAGTCCTGATTAAATTTATTTAAAAAATAAAAAAATTAAAAAAAATGCAAACGAGTCCCAAATAAATTATTAAAGAATTAGAAATTGAAAAATATATTTTTATTTAAATATGAAGTTATATTCATCATTTCACAACTTTTTATTGAGAAACTGGATATAAATGATGGTTTGCGCAATCAAATGTGTAATTAAGAGTAAAAATGCAAAAAAAAAAAAAAA